TGATGGTAATGTCACAGGATACACAAGCAGATCCATGGAACAGAAATGCAAGTCCAGAAATAAACCTGTACATGTGTTTTTGATAAAGGTACTAAAATAACTTAATTCAACAAATGGTGATAGTACAACTACCTATCCACAGGTTAAAAAAAGGAAGTTAGTGTGCGACTTACTCAAACAGAAACTATTTATTTAAAATTGATCAGATTTCTAATTTAAGAGCCAAACATATAAAACTCATATAATAAGTTGTAGGAACACATTTTCATGAAGTAGTTTCTAAGATTTGAATTCAAAAGAATACAAAATAAAAGGAAAAAGAAGATAAATTGGATCACCAAAATTGTTTTGTGTGTGTGCTTCAAGTAACATAATCAAGAAGGTAAAAAGACAATTCAAGAAATGGGAGAAAATATTTATAATAGGGACCTAGTGTTGGGAATATGTAAAGAAGCTTTATAAGTCAAAATACTGAGGCAAATCACTGTATCACTGTCATCCTGTTATTCATCGGTTGTCTCAAGCAGGCCCCAGTAACGTCTCCTTCGTCCTAGCCCTGAGATTTTAAAAAGTGCCACATTTGAGGCACTTTCAGGGTCAGGAGAACGATACCCATCTTTGTTACTGGCTTTTGGCATATTGAATACACCACGGGGAGTTTGCCAGACTCTGTCGGGTGGGCAGGACACTTTTGGTAGCCTGCCAGGTTCTCCAGAGTAAGAAGTAGATAATAAGATGTCGCGTGGCCAAGGCAAATAATCCAATAAAAAATTAATCAACACATTTGAATGAAAATTTATCAAAGAATATATAGTCATTTATTAGTCATTAATTACCTGAAAAGATGACTAACATCATTAGTTACTAGCATAATCCATATTAAAACTATTATAAATGGATAATGACAATTAAAATTACAGATAATAAGTGTGAGAATGTGGAGAAATAAGACTGTTGGTGAGTATGTAAGGGATACAGTTTCTTTGGTCAAAATTTGGCAGCTTTTCAAAAAGCTAAACATTGAGTTACTATCTACCCTGCAATCTCACCTATAGGTATACGTATAAGAGAAATAGAAAGGTATATCCATCCTAAAACTGACATTTGAATATTAAAGAGCACTACTCATAATATGAATGAAATTAAAACAACCTAAAATAGCATCAACAGATAAATATATATATATGTGTGTGTGTGTGTGTGTGTGTGTGTGTGTGTGTGTGGAATATCTATACTTTAGAATATTATTCAGCCATTTAAAACAAATGAAATAAATATATACATCATGGCCTTCATTAAACCCCAATAATATTATGCTAAGTTAGCGGTCTCTGAATTTATTTACGTTACACCCCTCTTTTCAGAAAAAAAAAATCACTCAGCACCTACTCAGGAAATTTACCTTCAAGTGAAAAACAAAATGTACCCAACCCCACCTCCCCAACCCCAGTTGCACCTAATACTATCACCATCCCCATGGATCATTCTAGCACCCCCTAGGGGCTGATACTGCCCACTTCAGAAAACACTGTTAAAACAAGGCACAAGAGACCACAAATTATATGGTTTCGTTGATATGAAATGCCCAGAAAGGGGAAATGTTTAAAGCAGAAGGGTAGATCAATGGTTGCATAGGGTTGAGTGGGGTGGGCTGGGGATCCAATATATATTAGGTTTTTTTGATTATCAATGCTAATAAAAGCACTTAGGTGAATTTTATGGTACTCGAATTATATACCTCTTCACAAAAATATTTAAAATCTAAAGTAATTCCATAGGAGTTTTGAAGAGAAAGAGCATAGTGGGTGACTCCCAGTCACAGATCCTCCTGACCGGGATTTTCTTTGGCTCTGTATAGGCTGGAGGGTGGTGGCCGCACCCTCCCAAGTCAAGGCCCTGGAGTGTGGAACTGAGAAAGAAGCTCCTTTCTCATTTGGGAGAGTCAGTAACAGCCTTGCCCCAGAGACAAGTCTTGATGACGCACTTCCTTATAATACCCAATCCCAGAGGAACAAGAACTCACATTCACACAAAGAAGGTTATTTTAAATCACAGTTCTCTTCTTTCTTGAATGAGCCATTGCCATCAATCCTGAGAGAATTGCAATTGTATCCACTTTACAGGGGAACCCAAGAACCACAGAGGCAGAAGGTTGGTTGCGGTCATGCTCACGCTAGCAGCAGGTTCTTTTAATGCCACCAACCCTGTGTTCTGTAAAATGTAGATTTGGGACCTACTTAACTTTTCACCAAGGACAAAAAGAAATAGAATTCTTTAGAATTTATATGTCTAAATTAAGATCTGTTGATACGCAGCCTTTCCTTTCCTCAGAGAGACTCACCTGAAGAAAATGTCCCATTGTAGGGACAGCAGTGGTTTGGATGTGGCTGTAGTGTGCCACAGGCTGGAAACACTATGGAACAAAATTCTACGGAAACCTACAGCATTTGTTCATGTGCTTATGAGGAGTTACCTTTCTGGACCAATCCACTGACTCAGGTGAGAATGCTAGACTCAGTTAATGATCTCAATCCAGATTTTTCTTTATTTTTTTTCTTTTTGCTTCCATTTATGAGCGTGTTGGGGAACTTTACTTTTCTAGTCTAAATCAGACGGCAATCATCTTGGCCAACCTCTACTGGTGCATTGCTAGAAGACACATTCTTAACTGATGCCAACCACTAGAAAACACAGATGTCTCAGAGCCACATGTATATTGGACCTTTGGAACTCCCAATACATACCTAACCTCTAAAATGCTTTCCGAACTGTGCTCTCACACTTAGTTTTGCCAGTGTTTATTATTAAACATAATCTTTCAACTCTGACTTTATACTTGCAGTCTGGCTTCCTGTTTTCATTTCTGCTGATTTGGTATTTCTTCCCCAGAGGCTGTGAGGCTGTTTGTGTCCAGATCACACCTGCACTCTCCACAGGACACATTTAAGGTCTCTGTTCCAGTTACTTGGGCTCTTTCTGTGCACAGAAGGCTACTCAGATCCACCTGGAACTTTAAGAACTGGAGGGAATTCCTGAAGACTCATATCCTCTATACTGTCCACTATCCATCAGATATAAACCAGACGGCAATCATCTCAGCCAACCTTTACTGGTGCATCGCCAGCATATAGAATTTCAAAATCCTAACATGAACCCTGAATGGCCAATGAAGAAACAGTTTCACTACTTCCACCACTGAGGATTGTGGGAATGTGCGAGTTTGTCTTTTCTCATTTGGTTCTAAGAAGAACTGGGTTATGGAGGAAGAGTTTTCTTTTACGGGGTGTCTGGTATATTTAGATACAAAACTGATTCTAGCTCCTGGTTGGCTGTTATTTCTGTGTGTTTACAAAATAACTTACAGGGTATGTTGAAAGATGCACAGGAATGAACATACTATTCTTGTTAAGACTTTAAAACACGCATTCCAGGCTTGCTCTATAGAACCCTAGTGTTGCACACACTTCCTGCAAAGTAACATAGTTGTTTTTTTTTTTCATATTGCTCATTGAGTTTTCTTATGAAGAGCAATGCATCTTGCCTCACTTGCAATAACCAAAGAACCAAATGATATTTTCCTTTTGGGGGGAATGGTCATACCTGGTGGTTCTTGAGGGTCAATCCTAGTGTTGATTTAGGTACCATATGTTGTCAGGTATTTAACTGGGGGCTCCAGTATGCAAAGCATGGATTCCAGCTCTTTGATGTGCTTTTGTTGCCTCCCTTTCCCAATGACTCATTTCATGATTAAACTGTATTGCAAGTCCTCTAGCTACAAGATAAAAGATTCAAGTTTGGGGGCTAAAGCAATAGTATAGTGGGTAGGGCATTTGTCTTGTACGCGGTCAACCCAGGTTTGATCCCCGGCATCCCATATGGTCCCCCAAGCACCGCCAGGAGTAATTCCTGAGTGCAGAGCCAGGAGTAACTACTGAGCATCACTGGGTGTGACCCAAAAAGCAAAAAGAAAAATTCAAGTTTTTTTTTATCTGTTATAACTTAACTGTTGCTTACATATCCCCATGGTAGGAAGTTACCTGCCAATCCCCATACTTCCACTTCCCCTCCTTTCCCTACCTCCCTCCATTTTTAGCAAACATATAATTGTCCCCTATTCTGCCACCAGATGCATAGGTGTCACAGAGCCACCAGTCTGTGCTGTGTGAATCTCTAGGGCACAATCCTCTGTGGTCCTTGTATAGAGCAGATACTGTGACTTTCCCTGCTGAATGTTGTCAAGAGCAAATACTGTGGCTTTCCCTGCTGAATGTTGTCACTGCTTTTGGGATCTCTTGGCTTATGTCATCTACTCAGAATCTTGAAAAAGTCCACATGGTGTGGATGCAGGGAGTGTTCAGCAGCGCTCTGGAATGAGCGCCACTCATGTGGCCTGGCTTTCCCTGCAGTGAGCACAGAGTGGCATTGTTTTGTCGAGTGGCTCTGTGACTCCTGCTATCCCGGCGCCAGCCCAAGAGTATGCAAAGAATGTGGGCCGCTGCTGGGTGCTGCTCCCACTGGAGGCCCCGCACACTCGCCTCTCCCTCTCCACCCGGGACAACCCTCAACACTCGCCTTCAAGGGGTTTATGTTATCAGTGAATCCCTGGGCCTTCAGAGTTGAGATGTTGGGGCAGGGGTAGAGTGGACGTGAGTCATGGCTGAGAGCTGAGCCCTCTGTCAGGAGCAGAAGAAACTGGATGGCTTCCCCTGGGACTGAGGCAGCCCTGAATGGGGTGGGAATGACCGTCTCGGAGGGGAAAGTCTCTTCTGCATCTAGGAGGAAGGGCTTTGAGTAGGCTGGAAGCTGTGTGAACTTCACTGATGCCTCCCAGTGAAGTTCACTGAGATCCCTCTCAGAGGCCCCAGCTCTGCAGAGTTGATAAAGATCCGTTAAAAAGCTCTGCTTTAGAAAGGAAGGTCTTGACTGACGTCAGGAACTCTAGGCAGGGATCTCTGGAGACCGACCGCTTGCGGAGTGTCCCTAGAGCAGGAGCGAGCAGTTCAGAAAAGGCCGGCCCCGGAGAGAGAGGTCAGGAAGGGTGGGGCCTGCGGGGGAGGGATGATGGGGGTGGTGTCAGAGGTGGTCTCCTCAGGCTCGCTGTCCTCATCATCCAGGCCTCCGGCCAGAGATGGGATGATTCTGACCACACTGTCTTCGAAGTGCACCTGCTTCCTCTTGGCCAGCCCGTCAGCTGGCTCTAGCGTCAGCTCCGTCAAGGCCTCGGGGCACGGGAGGACTTTGGGCTTCGTGGTCCCCTTGAGGATGCTCTTCACGTGGAGGAAGAGGGAGCTGGGCCCCTCCTTGAGGGCCTCGTGGAAGGTGTAGGTTTGCTCCGTGTCCCCAGAGCCAGTGGTGCTCATGGCGCTGCTAGCGGGGTCTGTGTACTCCTCTACAGGGGCCGGCCCATTGGGCGCAGGTTTAATTTTCTTCCGCTTGCTCAGCAGGAAGTAAGCCAGTCCAGTGGTGATGAGCATGGAGCCTGGAAAAGATCTGGGTGTTCAGGATGCTGGATCTGCCCCCCGAAAGAAGTCAGGAGCTGTCCACACTCATGGTTCTGAAAGGCCACCTCAGTGCACCTGTGTGGTCACACCCAGCCCCCACCTGAGCCTCAGACCTTCATGTCTAACTCGTCCTCCACCTCCACCGCAGACTTAGTGGGTCAGCATGGTGAGGATCAAGGGAGCCATGTTATGATTGCACTCTTTTGAAAACCACAGCACCCAAAAGGAGAGAGAGAGCAAAAGGGTATGCCCTGCCACAGAAGCAGGGTGGGATGGGGGGTGAGATGGGGGGTGGGTGGGATACTGGGATCAGTGGTGGTGGAGAATGGGCACTGGTGGAGTGATTGGTATTCTATCATTGTATAACTGAAATCTAAGCACAAAATTTTGTAAGTCTTCAACTGTACCTCATGGTGTTTCACTAATAAAAATTTAAAAAAAAGGGGGGGGGGGAAGCCATGTTAGAGAACCCATGCTGGGGTTCTCACTTTCACCCTTTGTGGGGGATCCTGTGCCTTGGGCCCCAAGCCTGAGAGTAAATGCTGGTGCTGTCACCCCCAGGCTTCTCACAAGGTGCTCAGCCTCCTTCTCAAGAGAGTTTGTTGGGCCTCCCCTGCTGGGTCCTGAAAAAGTGGTGAATTTGCATAGCTAAGGAAGAGGGAGAAGGTGCTGACATAAAAGGTAATGGATCGATTCAGGGAGGAGGAACCTTCAAGATTGAGCTTCTATGCTAAAAAAATTGTGTGGAGGAGGGAGAGTGGGGAGAGATGCCAGGCCTGGGAGTCTGCTGCAGCCCATTCAGACAGGACTTCCCGCACACAGAGGTGTTGGGCATGGATGGGTAGGTGGTAGGGAGACACAGCTAAGTTGGGGAGAAAAGTGACCCTCTCGCATCCCCTGCAAGCTTGTGTCTCTGAGATAAGGCCTCTTTTGTTGATATAGATTCTGGAGGGAGGAGTCACTCTGGGGGCATTCCTGCCATCTAGGCAGCAGGAGCTGCTGCCTCATTTTTACCAGTGCCAGCAGAAAGGGGGCTTTCAGGCCCTGTGCTCAGTCTGCCTGCCTCTCTACTTCCTGGAGGTCCTACCTGGGATAGTCACATGCCAGACCAGGACTGGGTGAAGGAAGCAGGCCACAGACAACAGCATGTAGGCCAGGAACTTCTGGAAGCAGCCCAGCCATTGGGCCTTTTCCCTTGCTCTGTACGCCAGGGACCCTGGCTGGCACCTGGTAGGGAGGGAGTGCAGGATTAGCAGGAAGCAAAAGGCACCCCAGGAAAAAGCCCCTGTGATGGGCACAGACACTGGCTGGGGGCAGGTCCTGCAGTAGCTTCTGGTTGATTCTGTGCCTTCACACACACACACACACACACACACACACACACACACACACACACGCTGAAGTCCTTACTAGCTTCTCCACAGAGGTTACACATTTTCTGCAAGGTCATTCATCCTTCTGAAGGGGGGAGGGGAGGGAAAATATCACCCAGGACATGGCAAAGGCAGCGAGACAATGAGGGACATTCACAGGGGAGGGAAGCATGTAGCATGGAAAACACCGAGACTTGGATTGTTTTGGACTGTTATGTAGATTGTGCACTGCACAAAGGACCTGGAGAGAGGGATGGAATGCAGCTGATGTCAGGAGACAGCATCAGCCCCGGTGGATCTCTATCTTAACCTGCATGTGTGGACCACTCATATAAGCCTGATCTCAAGCAGGTTTCTTTAGGGGTCACTGCCTCCAGGTTTTCAAAGGGGGAAAGTGACAGCCTTTAGACTCCTCTCCTTTATCTGAAAGCTTCTGGAGCAGGACTCTGGAAAGCAATACGCTCCAGGTTAGTTTTAGGGGAAAAGGGTGGCTTAAAGGCAAGACTGACCTGCCAACACTGCTGACATGGCTCTTTGGTGCCCTCTGGTGGTAAATAATTTATTCAGAGCAGATAAAATGCCCCTTTATGCCAAGGACTCCTCCCTTCTTTGCTAGTAAAAGGATCCCTGACTTTCAGCAGAAAGCAGGGAAGCCTGCAGTCTCAGTGACCCCTAGAGGAAGGAAGCTTTTCAAGACAGCTAGATTTGGAATTTGGGTTTTTTGCTGCCCATGGAGAAATCCAGCTGTGTAGGTTCTGAAACAGTGCTTCACAAACAGTCCTTGATCTCACTGACCACAGCTTTCAGGAGCTTAGCACTGCTGGGCCACAAGAGGACATGGCCCTGCCTGATCTACTGTGACCTTGACATATCCCTGGGTCCTGGTAGGGGATGGACTCAACTCTTTCCAGCCCGGTTCTGCCTGCCCCAAACCAGGCTATTGTGGCATCCTGTCCTTCACTGCATGATGGGCTCTGCAGGGGATTCTGGGTGGGAACTGTCTCTGAATGCATGTGCTAACTTATCCCCTTGGTAAAAGGGACCACTGGTCCCGGTGGCCTGAGCCCATCCAAAGTCCTGCACTCTCTGCACGAGGGGAGAGGGTCTCACATCCACAGTTACTTGGGGAGTGAAACATTACTCCGACTGTGACCTCACAGGTGGCAGCTTCTGGGAGGGCCCAGGGCTGGAGACAATGGAGGGGCTGTTCTGAAATTTACTTACCTGAAGCAGAAAGCCAGCAACTGAGCCACAAAGAAGGCTCCTTCACACATGGAGACCGCGGCTCCTGTGAACCTGTGGTGGACACAGGAGAGTAAGTCCATTACCCCACTCCCTTCGCCATTCCGGAACTGTGATCTCACAGCACACTGGACCTCCCCAGCATCTGTAGCTGCCACTGATCCAGACTTTTCTGATCTGTTTCTGTCTCCATGGCCCTATCCCCAGAAAGCTGATTTGATGCCAGACCTTACTTTGGACTGGGGCTTGGTCTTGGAAGGGATGATGGATGAGGACCATTAGATGGATGTGGAGGGAGCTGCAGGTCAGCAGAGAAATGCAGACTCTGATGTTCTTAGACCTCCTGTCAGTAGATGGGCACCCGCTGTCTGGTTGGACATTCCATTATTCAAACAGTTGCGAGGGCTGTACTCTCAAAACAGCCCTAGCATCACTGTCACTCTATCACTCCCTTTCTCTTGCCTCAACTGCATCACAGGAGCTTGGGGACTTCCACCCGGATCTTAGTACCTGGTACTGACTCTTGGTTTCCCTGACTCTCCTGTTTCTTTAGTCTGTCGCCACTGGGTTGCCCTCAGGACTCCTGACATATGAATTGGATGTTACTCTTCTAATCCAGAATCCCTATTTCCGATTTAGAATGTCCTGGAGAATTTGTAAAATCATAGATTCTGGGTCAGTTCATGATTCCCATATCAGAATTTTTGGGAAAAGAATGTAATTTGTCACCAGAGAAGGGTCTTGTTGACTTTTAGAATTAAATTTTCCTGTATGATTTTTTAAAGCACAGATGAATTTCCACATCTCTCTAGCCACCAGAAAGCTGTGAAGTGACATGGGGTCTTGCATTACCTTCTTGAAGGATCCCCCCTTTCTCTTCTTATCTGTCTGGTAATTCTTTCTTTCTCTATGCTCTAAATGTGAGCGGATCTGTCAGGTTGTGAATTGCCGAGGGAAGATCCTGCTCATTCCTCCATGTGGCCAGGACCCACCATGGAAAGGCTTGTAGTTATGTATTCCATGGGTATGCTTCAGAGTAATCACTGAGCAAAGGGTAATCACTGAGTAATCACTGAGCAAAGAGTAATCACTGAGGAAAGGGAGACAGGGGGTTCCTTTTTTCTTATAGTTATGGACATTGGACATCGCTTCTGCTACTGATAAGGTCTATGATCACAGGCGAGGGGGTTGACATTTTTTGTGCTGCAGTTTCCTTCTTGGTAGTTTGAGGGTAATTATAATGCTCCCAGAGCTAGAGCGATAGCACAGCGGGTAGGGCATTTGCCTTGCACGCGGATGACCCCAGCATCCCATATGGCCCCCCCATCCCCCGCACTGCCAGGAGTAATTCCTGAGTGCAGAGCCAGATGCTCAGAGTAACCCCTGAGCATCACTGGGTGTGACCCAAAAAGCAAAAAACTGATTTTAAGGACCAAATAAGTTGACTTTTATAAAGCCCTATGAATGTGCCTGGTACATGTTGATCATTATATACATTTTAGGTATGTTTCTCTCTGTGTGAGCATTTACCATTCAATCTCTCCTCTTTCCTCTTCTACTTATGCCTTCCAGTGTTTACTTTGGTCATAAGGAGGACAAGAAGGAAGAGGATTGTCTGGCCATTGAGGAGTGTGAGTGTGTTGATCTCACAGTGTACTCTGGGTAGAGAACATAAACTAGTTCAGAGTAATGGCTGAAGGACCCAAGGCCAGAATTAAAGAATGTGTCTTCTAGGACTGGATCACAGAGTCACCAGATGTGCAGGGTCCTGGGTGAAAAGCAGACCCGAATTGTTTGTTGTAGTAGGATAATGCCCTCTACCAGAACTTGACCTTCATGGGTGAACTAGAGGACCAGGTGAAAAGGAGGTGATGTGGTGTGCTTCTGAATTCCAGAGAAACTTGAGCCCACTGACCATAACAGAGTTAATAAGATGTAGCAGGAATAGCAGGCATTTCTCTCAGCCAGTGGGACTACAGACTTAGGATGCATGGGGACCTCCTGTACCCTTAAGAATTGACTGCTGAGGCACTGGGGAGAGAGCCTGTCGGACCTCTCTACCCCCACTCCATAGGCTCTCTTCTTCCATCACAGTGACATTTTTTGTGCTGCAGTTTCCTTCTTGGTAGTTTGAGGGTAATTATAATGCCGACACACAGTGCCGACCCACTCCCCTCCCCTTCAGGAAGGGTTTGAAGAGGCAGCTGGCAGAAAAGAAAGGACCGGGGCTGCAGAACTAAATGGATCTGAGCTGGATCTGGGCCCTGTTGTTCACGGACTTGGTGATGTGGGTTCAGCGACTCATTCCTGAATGTTCTCATCTGTGAAATGAGGACATATTGTACTTGTATAGTGCAGCCAGAGTTAAAAGACGCAATTTAAATAAAACATTTGACTGTTCTTGGCATGTAGAGGAGATTGAGTAGTCCTTTGAGCTTATTCTCCTCTCTAGACATTAAGTATTTTCTAAATAAAGATATAAAGGAAGAAATGGATAAGCATGTGCATATGCGTGTAAATAATGGCGATGGAAGGCTGAGTGGAAGAGTAGAAGGATAGACAGGTGGGTGAATGAAAGAATCATTGGTTGATTTATGAGGTGGTCTGACAAAAATTCTGTCCAAATCAGGAGAAATCTTAGAAGACCCCTCTATCCCTCTTTTACCTCTGGGATATGAAAGAATGGGTATAGGGTACTCCTCTGGGTCAGTGTCAGCATTGGAAAACGACACTTAGGCAGGAAAGAGTGCATGCCCATATACTCACAGCAGATAGAAAGCCAGGCTCTTGAACTGCCCCTGCAGGAATGTTTCAGTGCCCACGCCGATCAACACTAGGGGACGAGGAGAGTGAAGAGTGATTCAAGGTGTTCCTTTCATAGCTTATCCTGTGGAGGACTCCTAGGTTATTTTATTTATTTATTTATCATTTATCTATTTGCTTATTTGTTTATTTATTTATTTACGGTTTGGGGTCACACCAATGTTAGTCCTGCCCTGCACTCAGGAATTACTCCTGGTGGTGCTTAATTACTTCTGGGGGACCCTATGGGATGCTGAGGATTAAACCTGGGTCTATTACATGCAAAGCAAGCAACTTATACAGTGTAATATTGTTCCAGTCTCCGCAGTGAGCCTTTTCCTTGGGACTGAGAACCAGGACAGGCTCTATTCCCAATGACACACTGAGCTGTGGCTGGGGAGGTGCAAGAGAATAGAGAGTCTTCTGGATTGGTCTCTGTCACCAGAGAGATTTTAGGCTGAACCCTTGATCACAGTACCCCTTCATTTTTTGGGGACCACATTTGTTGTTCCTTCCTCTCTTAGAGCCCCTAGAGACTAACAGCCCAACAACCCTCTGCTTTGTATCTGTACTTCATGTGCTGTAGCTTCAAAGTCTTCTTCACTGTCTTCTAGCCCATGGCAATGTGTGGAATGTGCCAGTTATCAATACTTGGTCATTAGACCTTGTCTCTGTCCATTTCCTTTCCAGATCAGTATTCATTTTTTTTGATGTAGGAGTACTGCCATTTAGTCAGCCACTGATTAGCTGATTGAATTGGGCATGAACTCCACCTTACTTTTTTAAAAATTTTTTTATAATTTTATTTATTGAATCACCGTGAGAGCAGTTACAAAGCTTTCAGGTTTAAGACTCACTCATACAAACAAACACCCGTACCTTCACCAGAGCCCATTCTCCACCACCAAAACCCCCTGTAAATCCCCATCCCACACCTTCCCCCTACCTGTGGGGCAGATAATTTCCATATTACTCTCTCTCTCTCTCTACTTTGATCACATTCAATAGTTTGACACCAGACTCGCCATTATTATTTGGGATTTTACCCCAACACCCAGATTTGCTAAAAAGGCAACAGTAGACAATTTGTTTTCTATTGCTGGTTAAGAATAACATATGATATCTTGTGGCTGCACGATTTTGAAATTCCAAAATTTTAACACTTAAATCTGAAGGGATTTCTGCCCAAACCTGCTGGGTTCCAAGATTTGTTCCTAAGTCTCAGGGATCATGGCCATTAAGCAGCTTGATCAGGATCCGGAAAGGCCGTTCATGGGTGGAGACTTGGGGTCTCATTGGGATGGGGAGGAAAGGGCTGGATCCACCCTCATCCTGTGAGGCCCCGGGTGTCTTGTCACTTTGGGCCCAAACCTGACTGTCAAATGGCCTCTGATGGATGGGGGCCACTGAGCCACCAAGGGGGAGCAGGTGGAGGGACAACACCCTTTCCCCGCTGGGTTGGCCCAGCAACAGTAACCTACTGCAGGGTCCGGACGCATTTCTGCCAAAAGCTGCTGGGTTTCAAGATTTGTTTCTGAGTCTCTGGGATCATGGCCATTAAGTAGCTTCATCAGGAGCCAAAGAGGCCATTGTGAGTGGCAACTCAGTGTCTTGTTGGGGTAGGGAAAAAGGGCCGGCTCCACCCCCATCCCGTGAGGCCCCACGTGTCATCACTGCAGGCCCAAACCTGACTGTCCAGTGACCTCTGGAGGATGGTGGCTACTGGGCCGCCAAGGGGAACAGGCCAAGGCATGAAACCTATTCCCACCTGGGTTGGCACAGCAGCAGTAATCTACTGCAGGGACTGGACACATTTATGCCAAAAGCCATTGGGTTTTGAGATTTGTTTCTGAGTCTCTGGGATCATGGCTGTTAAGTAGTTCGATCAGGAACCAGAGAGGCCATCCCTCTAATTATGTAGCTGAGCCGGAGGTGGTTTGTGTGTGTGTCTCCCACATACCTAACTTTTGGGCATTTACTTTCTTGGTAAACTTTGCCCCAAGTTTTTGGGGTCTGACCAAAGGCACAGCAGTAATTTGGGGGTATCTGGAAGTCTGAAGCCACCATCAGGCTGCTGATGCACTGGCCTCACAGGTATAAGTTGACCTACTGGCGGCACCATACCCCCCAGTCAGTATTCTTGCTGTTGCTGTGAAGTAATCTTCACTTGCTGACTTGTGGCTGAGTCACACAATCTTGGCTCACTCTTTTGGACTCAGCACTGATTAAGTCCTTGGGATTCTTCGCTGTCAGGAGGTACTGCTTAGCCTCATCTCTCTTCTGCCTTTTTCTTGGCCCTTGGTGTGTGTTGAGAACCTGACCTTTCTCATTTGTTCAGTGTGAATTTTGTCTTGGCCCCATCTTTGCAGACTTGCTGTCTCCCTGTCCTGTCCTCATGGGGACTCCCTTGCTCTCATGGCTATAGTCAACCAACCACGCCTCTGACTCATCACCTTATTGATGGAAACATCCACAGACAGCACTGAGGTTCGCCAGACCTTCCTTCTGGACGCCATTGGCCCACTAATCAGACCTTTTTTGGACCTAATTAATGACATTCCAAGGACTCTCAATTTTGGGTCCTATGAAGTCTTTGGCTTGGATGATACTGGTATTTGCTGAATTGTGACTTTACATTGTGTTCCTCTGAGAAAGTAAGGGAGTGTGACTGGACTATTGTACATGACAGTTGGTGTGTGGCCCTTTGCTGCTTAGAGGACTGCTACTTCCTTGGCAGAGACCCAGGGAAAACTTTCATTCCTGTTGTCCCAAGCCCTTTGTCGAAGAGCAGAAATGCTGCCTCTTGAAATGCAGGGTAGATTGCACACTTAGCTTCACCCAAACCCCTCATTTCTGGAATGTGCTGGAAGTACTTCAGGGAATGCTTTGCTCTCTGAAGGGGAGGGAACACCTGAATTTCCTCAGTGCTGAGAGCTCTAGTGCCCCCTGTGCTTCCGTCCAGAGAAGCAAAGGACACTGAGAGTCTGTTCTCTCCCCTTGCTGCTGCTGGACTCCTGTCAGGTGAGAGGAGGGCATCAGCCTGAGCCAACCAACTCATGGGGCACTTACTGGTTTGCACACAACGGCCACACGTCCTGGAGCTTCCTAGTCACCTCATGAGATGGAAATTTCTACTCCCCCAATTTTTTAGGGAGAAAGATGAGGGTCTGTGGCCTTGTGTGATTCCTCAGAGAACATGCTAGAAAGTAAAGGACACAAGGGCCAAACTTGAGATTTCTGGCTTATGTCATGTAATTTTCACTACTTGTCAGTGTGTGCTTGTTGTTAAGTGACATGTGTGTACATGTGTGATGTGATGCATGAGATACGTACGTGTGTGTGAGTAAGGATGTGTGTGTGGGTATGAACATCTGTGTATGTGTATGAGTGTGTGTGCTGAGTTGAAAGACTCCCATTTATTTAGTTTGCAATAAACATCTTATCTGCTCCTTGAAATCACTACCTCATTTGCCCCAGCCCCCGTCTCCCTTTTTGGGTCACAGTCAACAATGTTTAGGTGTTGCTCCTGGCTCTGCACTCAGAAGTTGAGTGAGCACTGACTGAGCACTCCTGGAGGTGCTCAGGGGAGGATATGGGACACCAGGGATAGAACCCTGGTCAGCTACGTGCAAAACCAATAGCCTATCCTCTGTACTCTTGCTCCTCATTTCCTCATTTTGGGGAAGGACTGAAATCACGTCAGCAGTCTCTGCAGATTTGCATGCTTTATGGTCGGTGACCAGCAGATGGCAGAAAAGGGTCTTGGAAACCAGTATCTTTCCTGTGAGAGCTATTTAGTGCCTTTTCCTTTTAAAAAAACTGTTATTATAGTTAAAAGTAATGTGTTTACAATGGTGTTGACATTTATGACCTTGGTATACACAGTTACCTCACCCAGCCACCACTGAAGTGCTTAGACCCAAGACCCTCGCCCCCCCACGCCCCTATGTCGTGTTTAATTCACCTATTTCAAGGACTGTTCTGAGCAGCTTTCTTAAACTTTTTCCACTTCAAACTCATTTTTTGTTGGAGAAATTTTTATGCAAACCCAGGTATGTGGTTACAGAACATAAGTAAAGCAGATACGTAATAGTGAAGTTGGGCACCCATTCTTTGCAACTTTTGTTTGAAAGGTGGACCTAATTTCCCTCCCTTCGAATGTGGGCTGGCCTTAATGATTCACTTGTCTAACAGATTGTTTTGGAGGCAAACACTTGTTTGGCTCATTTATGAAGAGGTTTTAGTTTGTCCTCAAAATGTTTGTTCTGGGGGAAACTACCATATAGGAACTTGAGGTCTCCATGTGTGAGGAAGCCCAGGTGTGTGTGTGTGTGTGTGTGTGTGTGTGTGTGTGTGTGTGTGTGTGAGAGAGAGAGAGAGAGAGAGAGAGAGAGAGAGAGAGAGAGAGAGAGAGATGCACAGTCTGCTCAGTGCTCAGTTATGCCTGGGACACATGCTCACAGAATTTATTTTGGACATTGCAAACCCAGAATATGTAAAGCAGAGATACACATATAAATGTGATCAACAGTCAGAGCCAAGCACCAGATATATGACTGAAGAAAAGCCATCCTATCTATCTTACCTGGAATCCCTATTATCACCAGGAGAGATGCATTGTCTTGATTGTGTCCTGTCTAAAATCCTGAGCTGTACAGAGTTTTGAATAGACTAAAGTGATGATAGTTTCAAGCCACAAAGTCTGGAGTAGTTTGTTATCTGGCCCCAAGTAACTGGAAAGGCAGCTTAGTCTGTTCTCCAATTAGCTGAACATTTTGGATCCCACATCTCTCTGACCGTTCTAGTCTATAGTCAGTCTTTTTTCCTGCAAATAGGATCCAAGTGTCTTTGAATGCCTGGTCCTCTCACTGAGCCTTTGAGTGAGAAATCTGACTACAGTTTCCTATAGACCCTATAGCGTTTGCCTTCCTGAACATAAATGTGTGCATGTTCTTGAAGATGCAGTGCCTAGGAGTGGAGCTTGTATCTTGGGGATTCTTCTTCCACATAAAATCGTACTGGTGGTCTTAG